GGGGGGGGGGGGGGGAAAGATCCCTTTCCCCCCTTATTTTACCGCGACGGAAAGCAAACAACGGCATCCATCCATCATTTCAAGCGGACTAAAAACTACAGCGCGATCCATGCAGGGGATACACAAATAATGTTTAATGTGCAATCCTCTTTCGTAACCTTAAGCAACCGCGATCTCCTTTTAGATGATGTCACATTGCGGCCGAGGACCTCTTTGCCACGGTTAAAAAGGTAGTGCTAAAGAGCCCTTTTTTAAAAGCCTGATTTCTCTCGCAGAGGGCGCTGTGTGAAGGCAGAGGCCCTCCTCTCGCCTAAAACGTTTCCGGGATTCAATTTTCCTAGTTTTCTCCGGCCCACGTGGGAGCGTGTTTTGCACACGCGGGTTGCTTTCTCTCGAACTGGAGTCAGTGGCTACGGGGATGAAGGCGACTCTGTTCTTGGAGATTAGGGAGAAGATGAAGAGCGGATTGCTGATTATTCGGTACTTTATTTGTTTGCTTTATGTTTGATTCCTCCCCCCCCCCCGCCTTTCACCCTGCTTCATTTGGGACAGGCATTGCGGGGTTATGTTATATTCCCTCTTTTTTCCCCATGGAGAAAACGCTTCTTCTCTTACAGGCCTGTCTTTAGCTTCCCATTTTCCATCCAGACAGCGGTGAATTACTTTTTGTAAAACTTCCACCACATCACTTCCCTTCTACCATCATACTTTAGTAAATAACTGTGTTACCAGACATTAAAGGCAGCTTACATCAGGGATCACCAACCTTTGGGGCCTCTGGCCCACTAAATTCATAATTTTAAATCCCGTGAACCACTAATATGATTTTTTTTTAAAAAAAAAGATAAATAGTATTTAGTGCAATATAAAAAACTGCAAATAATTTTTCTGCGGGCCACCAAAATGTTCTCACGGACCACCAGTTGATTAGCCTAGAGGACATGCAGTATGTATTGGAAGTCTAATGCCTTGAAAGAAAATGTTTTCCAAACATCCTCACGATTCAGGCAACTTATTTCTTTAAAGTTTAATTTATGAAATAATATTCTTGGCTTCAAGTTTTTTTGAGAAAAGAAATGTATATCTTTTGACTTGAAAAGTTTCTTTAAAATGCAGGTGCTGGTCCTTTAAATAGTTTGAGAAGACCAGAACTGAGTTGATTGTCAAAATATCCTATCAATGCTTCCTTGCCTTGTTAATTTACCATCCCTGCTCTTCTTTTTAGATGCCTTCATATAGATAAGCGCAAACAGTGCAGTGGTGGGTTTCAAAAATTTTTGGAACCTACTCTGTGGGTGTGGCCTCCTTTGTGGGAGTGGCTTGCCGGCCATGTGACCTGGTGGGAGTGGCTTGCCAGCCATGTGTTTTCTCTCTCTCTCTCTTTCCTTCCTTTTGTCTCTCTGTCCCTTTTTTCTTTTTTTCTTTCATCTCTCTCTCACTCTTTTTCTTTTTTTTTTCTTTCTTTCTTTCTTTCTTTCTCTCTCTCTCTCTCTCTCTCTCTCTCTCTCTCTCTCTCTCTCTCTCTCTCTCTCTCTCTCTCTCTCTCTCTCTCTCTCTCTCTCTCTCTCTGTCTGTGTGTGTGTGTGTGTGTGTGTGTGGCAGTGGTGGGTTTCAAAAATCTTTGGAACCTCTTCTGTAGGTGTGGCCTGCTTTCCGGGTCCACTGGTGGAACCTCTTCTAACCGGTTCGGTAGATTTGATGAACCGGTTCTACCAAATAGGTGCAAACTGATAGGAACCCACCTCTGGAACAGTGTATGCATATCTTATGTCTGTAGTGTGCATCCACCGTGCTTTCAAATTAAAGCAGCTGAGTTCTCAGAACAAACTCCAGAAAGTGTTGCCCTCTATTAAAGCATATTTATCACTGAAGCCTGTTGTTTATTTTTGTCTCACCTTTATTAAATGACTCAAGGCAGCGAACATACATAATATCCTTCTGCCCTCCTGTTTTCCCACAACAGGGGAAAAGGTGGAGTGGGCTGAGAGAGAGAGTATAATTGGCCCAAGGTCACCCTGCTGACTTTCATGCTAAGGCAGGACTAGAATTCACCGTCTCCTGGTTTCAAGCCTGATCCCTTAACCACTAGACCGAACTGGCTGTCTTATGCTTAGCTAGCAATACTGTAACCAAATTAAACTTCTTGAACTGTTTGAATGGAAATCACTGCATGTTGGCAACATCAAGAATGGATTTTGTACATTGTGGCCTGCATTATCTCAAGGCTACTCTGTGTGAAAAATACGTAACACCGAAAAGGGTTTGTGATGCCTGGATAAATGGAAACTGTAATGGAAATGGAAATGGAAATGGAAAAAATATTAACCCCCAAGCCCTGGATCCTCTCAGCTTGAAGGAGCAAATGTAAAATAGGGAGGGCTGATGTTCCCAGGGGTTCTTCAAACATCAGTTAGAAGAGAGGAGGTTGTGGTGGAAGGATGTGTCAGAATATAGTTTATGTGTCTTTATCATTACGTCTCTTCTCGCCTTCAAAACAGGAGTGGTTTTCACTTACCTTCCCTACCGGTTTGCACATGTGCGCGCGCTCTGCCTTCTGTGTATGCGCTATGCTCAAAAAAGTCCCTAAATAGGATGAAATAGAGCCAGAACTGGTGGGCAGGCCCTACCAGTTCAGGTGAACTGGTCCGAACCAGTAGAATACCACCTCTACTTCAAAGGCACTGTTTTAAGCAACTGTAGCCTACACTTTTCTGCTGTGGGAGAGAATGGCTGAGAATGAAATAAAAACATCATTCCAAACTAAAGAAAGAAAAACTAGACTGCTCAATGGATGCATTGCAGGTAGTTCTCATTTAGCACAACTTAGTTTAGCAACCATTTGCAATTACTATGGTGATGAAATAATCTCTGAAAATTGAGCCCTTGTCTTCAGCAAATTTAATTGTAAGGAATACTTTCAAAACAGCTTGCTTATCTTCTGAAAGATTCTGATCTGATCAGTTACGGTCCAAACATTAAACTTGTTACTTTGTTCAACATACAGAAACTTTTTCGGTTCTACAAAACTGAATCATCAATATTTATCTCTTGTTTCTAAGTGTGTCACTTGCTGAACTTAACCATATTCCTCCCAGATTCTGCCATATCGTGTTACCAAAATAGAAGAAATCCATTTCAAGCAAAAATATTTTACTAAGAAGCAACTACCGGTATTAGGAGAGATCTTATATAATTCCCTAGAGGAACATAGTCCTCTAAGAAGTTATATAATATTAAATCACCTGTGGATTCCCAATAGAGTCAACTCTATGTTATTATACAGTATAAGTAAGGAATGAGTAATGTCCTGGATAGTTACAGGCTATAGCAGAATTGCTCCCCACCCCACTCCACCCCCAGGTTTTACTGGATGAACTCTTTGTAAACCTTTTAGATCTCATACCATGAAACAAAATAAGTAATCCATTTCCCTAAAATAGAAGGAAAAGATCTCAGTTCTACATACTGTAATTATGTCCCCTTCCAATACTATAGCTTTTAGTAGTTTGGTTTATTTTGTTTTAATACAAGCCCCATATCATCTGTAATTTACATATCATATTGGCTGGGGCTACCTCTTATTTCACTTCTGTATTGGGGCCCACCCACTCCCTTCCCTAATCTAATAGACCGCTGTGGGAGATAGAAAACTTCCTTGCCAGAAGCCTCAATTATTTGCTTGAAAGGGGCTTTTAAAATTAGATAGGAATGCATAAATTATATGTTTCCCTATGAATAAGCCTTTCTTCTGAGTAGAAGCTTCTCTCCCATGATTATCCAGGGAATTCCACATTGTGCCAATAAGGGTATGAGGTTAAGATTTCAAATATAATTTACACAAAGGCTTTTCAATAAAAAGAGAGATAGGTAAACAGTGTTTCCAAGGAGAAACGTTTCTTTTCTAGGGTAGTTATAAAAGGCTGTCTCCTTTTATAAGTGGATCTGTTTTCTCTTTTCAAGATGATTGCCAAAATCTTTCTTCAAAAATGATATCTGGTGAGGTGATTTCTAGTCCACACAAACTTATGGCACAATAAATCTGTAAGCCCTGAAGGTGCTGGTTGTGTTGCAAAATATTTAACTGACTCTTCTAGAGTTCTGGCAGCCTAAAGGTGTCCTGCAAACCTGTCAAGACCTTACTTGAATCTAGGCACAGAGAGCTGACATTGCAACGTCACGACGTACGATCTTGGTGCTCCAAGATCGCAGTTGATATTTCTGCCGGTAGACGGTCCATTTGGACCTAAACCGTCCCGTAGAGATGGTGATTGAGAAGAGCATCTCCTGCTGATCCAGGAATAGCCTTTTTTTCCAGCGACAGAAATGCAGCTAATGAAGCTGCTGAAGTTGGGACAGCTCCGGAACGGGAAGAAAGCGGAAAGAGAAAGTGTGTCGAATTGGTGAGGAAGTTTTATTATTAGAAAAAGAGACTAACCCCCCCCCCCAAATAAGTTAAATTAAAATTGAAGACAGAAGAAGACTGTATGTGGCGAAATTAATCTACATTAAACTTAGTGTGTTATCCCGTTTCTAATTTTTTTTTTCACAGATGGAACTTTTGCAAAGGCTCCCTATTTTTTAAACTGAATGGATTATTTTTTTCTTTTTTCACTTTTGCTTACATCTATGGATTAAAATTCTCCTTTTTTATAATGCTTGATTGGATTGATTGGATTGTTTTTGATCTCCATTTAAGGGTTTTTTTTTACTCTCTTAAGCTTGGAATATAAAGAAGATAATAAGAAGGATTATAAAGAGAGTTGTAACAACAGGAGGAAAAGCAGTTACACTGCCACTTAGAGGCTGGAGGCTGGATACNGAAGGAAGGAAGGAAGGAAGGAAGGAAGGAAGGAAGGAAGGAAGGAAGGAAGGAAGGAAGGAAATCTAACATTAGCAAAGCTAAACATGTGCATTAACTCTAATTACTGTTAAATATTACACATAAAATTGGCTACTCTGAATCTCCATTGCTAGAAAGTTGCTTTGTATTGCTTAGAATTTTATGCAGATACAATTATAAATATTTTCTACATTACAGAAATAATTAAAAGTTTCTTTAATTAAATCATTCCCACAAAACAAAAGTGTTTACTTATTTTGCACTTTTAGAATAAGGAATGTTTTATCTATTGCTATGTGAGACTCAGCACATTTTATGCTTGTTTGAAAAACACTGCTTCAATTCAGCCTTAAGAGCTTTACATATTCTATCACAAACCCAAACTGGGAACAGAATGTATGAAATACGTTTTGGTAATAACTGAAAATATTTTTTTGTTAAAATAAATGCAACATATATCAACGGAATAATGACTTAAAAAAATACTAGTATCAGAAATGCAGACTATTGGGGGAGGCATACTGTTGTCTTTATAAGATGTCAGAACATCAGTGCAATAGCAGTACAAATGTATACATTCTCTTTATCATTCCTTTGGCAGCAGATATACATATTAGATTTATTTAAAACATGTATATAG